ATCCAATCATCATCATTGTAGCCCCTCATAACTAAGAAGGTTGCCATAAACAGATTTCAAATATCTCAAGTAGTTATAAAAGTTAAGGGGGGTGTAAGTTACTTTTCAGCCATTGCTATACACTTATAGGCTAATCACGGTTTATTGTGCATGAAAATTTTAAATTTTTAGTAAATTATCAAACGAAATTTTTTAAACTAACGTACAATAGTAATTTTTGTGGGAGCTGTATCAATACTAAAAACAACTCTAATTTTCGTATTAACCATTGAGTTTTTATAAAACTAAATGATTTAATTAGTGTTTAACATGTTTAAATCTGAAAAATGAGGAGATTATACTGCGTCTAGTGTATTTACAAGGTAACATACCGTTACCCAGAAGTGTCAAGTTTGGTCCAAGGTTGAGGAGGGCAAAGTCCTGAAATAGCCAAAGTAGGCTCATCGCCATCGGTCATCGCCCACTGAAACTGCGGGATAACCTCACGTCTTGTAACTTTAACTCTATTTCATAGTCAAGTAATCTGCGAGAAACCCTCCAACAGTTCTTTCAAAGAATCTTTACTTGAAAATAGTTCTTTTAAAGTATAAATTCGTTAAAAGAATCACGTTTTTATCTTACGGTCACATTTAACAATGTATGTAAGCAAGTGAATTAAAAGTTAAGTCCAGATGTGAAATAAGCTATTGTAATGCCATGAATCCAACAAACTGAAACGAATAAAAAATGTTAATATATGTCATAATGTCGCTGAACACTGTATTGTTTTTGTAGGAACATTCCTGTAGGCTGTCATATTCATTAAACTATTGTTTTCCTTTCGTAGTTTGAACTCTGCTAAATCAATTAACTATTTGTCTACGGGTCTTTAGATCCACAAATCTACGTAAAAGTTCACCACAGTGAATGTTATTATTATTTTAACATTCTAGACATAACACTAAAAAGTATAATTACACAATAATTAATTAATTAATAATAGAAAAATCCCTGGTTTTTTATGGTATACATAGAAGATTTTACTCTCAAATAAGTATCTCAAATAAGTACGGCTGCGGCACTGGTTTTAAGGTGTAACACGATCACCTGTACTAATGTAAAATACCCCCGCCGCTGCAAACCTGCAGACTAAGCGAATTTCCATTTGACTGATTGGATTTACACTGAAATGTCTACTTAAAAATAATAACATTTATTCCCGATATAAATAGAATTAGTTTAACAAGTACTTAGGTTTGCTGGATCAGGGATGGTAAAATTTTTTTTTATGTTAGTAGTTAGTAAGAAATAAAAACAGTTTCCAAATTTGATCAAAATATGTTCATAAACAATCAAACTACAACAGTTTACTTATTCTCCATAAGAATAACATGGGAATTTTAAATTTACAATTTTTTAAAAATTTTCTTCGTAACCATTAGGCGCATAATAACGCTTCAATATATTAAATTATTTGTTTTTTTAAGCTCTACAAAATAGTTTGGAAAGAAATTGCTAAATTTCATGTTTTTTGGGTCAAAAATGGGAAAACCTATTATTACCCCATAAAACCCCCCGTAAACCCCCGTTCCCATGGTCCGATCATGCTGGATCGCGAACTCGTTCAAATAAACCTAGGTTTACACGTTTGTACCAAATTTCATCAAAATCGGATCATTTTTGCTCGAGTTATCTTGCTAACGGACACACACACACACACACACACACACACACACATATATATATATATATATATATATGAATTTGAACAGATGGTGTTTTTGGCCTCTAGGGACCTCAAAACAAAAAAAAATCGGTCCCGCGTCCAGGTCTTACCATGAGTACTACGGTAATAGCTTATTCCCTATATGGGAAATTCGCTAAAAGATCTGCTGTTCATGACTTCTAGCTTTTCTTATGCACTTTCTACGATATACCTTTGTTTCTACCACTTTCCAGGAATCCATAATTTTGACCCACAGAATCACACAAAATTAAATACATGTGGTAACTCTTCTAGAAGTTAAATACCTATAGTTGCCAACGTAATCCTTGGTCGTCTGGATAGCGACCGGTTTCGACACTCAAGGTGTCATTGCCAAGCCAGACGTGCTGTCGCTCCTAAAAGGTTGTCAAAAAGTCTTTAAAACATATAAACCAGACATAAACGAACATATAAGTAAATAATAACCTATGGCCATAAAACTAAAGATTACGTTATCCAGCCCACGTTTGGCAACAAAAGGTACGGTATATAATCTCTAGAATAGTGGCTGTGATCCAAAGGCAACACATAAAAAAATAAATGTAATAAAATAATAAAATATATTCAATTCAATTTTCATAGATTATCTTTACGGTGTACCGTTATAGTAATTTCTTGTTGCCGTAAACTCTTACAGCTAAATAGCCAAGTTATTGGTTGAAAAACTGAGAGCTGAATAAGAACTGATTCTGATCCGCAATAATGTTGTTTACTTCTCTGCACTTTGTTCAGCGACATCGACGGGTTGTCAGGGCGACTGTGTAATTTACAGGGAATCACTACAAGAGCGGACAGCCTTGGTCGACATTGGGGTCGTATCTGGTACAGAACAAGAGGCTACTCGCCCCCTCAACCTCAACAATGACTCAGAATACACAAGCAAACACCGTGGAGAAAGTATATATGTTCATCTAGCTGTATTTGTTTTCATATTTGTGCCCGTATGTAAATAAATGAAGTATTTATAGAGACTTTTACAACAACAAGTTGGTTTAAAAATAACATAATCGGGAGCACTCATTTTCAAGCAAATCTGTACACTAATAACTCAATTTTAAATAATCATTTTGATGTTGACGAGATCCTTTATAAAACATATGTAGAACAATTACTTAATTCATGAGTTAGGATCACAGACAAAAAATTACGCACTAGAAGGGAAAGTGATATGATTTAAGAGTACCTATACTAGTTTAATCATCAAGGCTTAAAGAATGATTACGATCGTACAAAAAGAATCTGACTATTTTGGTAACAAAGTGGGGTAGCGGAATTTTCACAGTCATGGGGGTACAAGTCTGGCCACGAACTTTTGTGTTGCACAACATCAGTTGAATAAACTAAAGGTAGAATTAAACATATCTTCGTGAATTTCTTTGCCCTAGAACTGGTAGGGTAAATATAGTAGCATAGTTGACAGTTTTAATTTATACAAGAGAGTTTTTTTGTTATGTAAATATTGTATTTTATTTTGGTTTGTTGACGTAGCTAATGCATTTTATGTTAATTTTGCTGAATAAACGACTTATGACTATGACTTATCTTTTCACGGTTGTGAATTTAATCAGAACAAATAATATGATAAAACCTAGAGTGTACGAGCCAGAATTTTACACTCGGAATTCAACCCTTTGACCAGATATAGAATTTTATAAGAATAATTGACTTAGTACATTATGGGCGTTTTTGAGAAAGACCTTTGAACGGTTAACTATTATTTGCCACAGTTTATATTACATTTTGTAAGCAAATCGTCATATCCTGAATAGTTTGAAAATGCAAACACAAAGCCTAGGTTGATACAGAAAAGTTTGAGGAATCTTACTTAACTCCATAATTAATGACACAATCTAGAACAAACACATTAAACCTACTTAATAGTTGTGCTGAATGTGATATTTTACAGTATTATACAACAGCCATTTATTACCAATTACATAGTTTCCATAACATCGAATTTATCACATCGTTTGGCGGCCGAATCTTTTCGGTCACGCTCTTCAATTTCCTACCTTCACATTCAGACTAACAATGTTCAGAAACACCCCCCAAATTATAATACTATATAACTCCCATCTGCCGCATTTGTTTGGATCTGCTGTCTGAAATATGTGAAATAAGTCTTTGACAGCTCTGCTCGTTTACATTGATATTTCAAAACATAGGCAAACAAACATTGTGTGGTTTCTCATCCTGCCATAGAGACCAATCATAATTTAATTTGTACAAGTGATCGTATAATATAAAGTGAATAAAAAATAGTTTATGCTGGAAGGATGATTATTTGTTGTATTTTTTAACAAGTTCGTATTTTATAACTTCAACAATATATCTAATAACTTGAAAAGTCAGAAAAAAACTTGTTGAAGGTATTTTATAAAATATACACATTATGTAAAAAAATTACGATTCTCAAAAATATATATGTGGACTGGAGGAAAATGTCCAGAGGGGTAAAACCACAACTTAGCTACTCAGATGAAGTAGGGGTAAGTTCATAGGTACTACAGTTGTCTAATACCATTGACTATATACTATTTTTATGGTATATAGTCAATGATAAAACCTTAGTGATATGCGTAGGGAAAAAATTCCAGCTTTAATAATAATTTAGGATAACATAATTTACTAATCTAATCTAATTTGTCGTGCGTGCCTTGTCTATTTTCATTAGAATACCAAATAAACGGGGGTAAAATTCCGCCCACGAACATACTTGAGGTTACTACGCCATACTGACGTCAGCTCTGTTGTGGGAGTAAAATCCCAGGGGGATAGAATTACGGCGACCCAACAAAGCTACACAAAGCTAAAAAACACATTTATCCAGTAGATATCCTCCTGATCGTGAATCTTTCTGTGGTTTTTTAGAAGCTGTTCATTTGAAATATATAAGCTATATATAAATACACAAATGAATATAATTAAATATATTCCTCCGTTCCATAATTTGCAAATTTAAAACATATTTATAATATATATTAGCAAATATATAGCTTTATATTTCAAATCTATTTTTTTAAATATATTTTCAGTATAAATTTTATATGTGGGAATTGGCGTTGCCTTCCAAGCTAAAAAGTATCTAATTGGGAATACACTAACCACAGTTCAAATTCGTAATGAATCAAGTTAGCCCTTAGCAAACGGTTTTCGGGTATGGAAGGATTACATTACGATATATTGTAAAACACCGACATTAGGAACTTTACACATTACAATTAAACTAAGATTGGGTGAATAAAATAAATGTATGTAGTGGTAACTGTATTTATTGCATATAAATATTAGACTATTTACATGCATATTTACAGAGGGTGGAATAAATTACAAAGGTAAATCATCGCTTAGTGGTAAGAGTAGGCAGATCCGTAGTAGGCGGGGGCGGCGTAAGCTGGTGCGGCGTAGGCGGGGGCAGCGTAGGCCTTGACGACGGGGGCAGCGTAAGCGGGAGCGTAGGCGGGGGCGGCGTAGGCAGGAGCGTAAGCGGGGGCGGCGTAAGCCTTAACTCCGCTGGAGACCTTGTAGGTGTTGGAGTAAGAGGTGGCGGCGGGTGCGTGGTAAGCGACGGGGGCAGGAGCGTGGTAGACAGCGGGGGCAGCGTAGGCCTTGTAGGCGGGGGCGGCGTATGCTACTGGAGCAGGGGCGTGGTAGACGGCAGGGGCGGCGTATGCCTTGTATGCGGGGGCAGCGTATGCCACGGGGGCGGGAGCGTGGTAGACCGCGGGGGCGGCGTAGCTCACGGCAGGAGCGACGTAGGCGGGGCTGGCGACGTATCCAGCGGAGGCGGCAGCCACCAGAAGGGAGAGGATTGCCTGTAAACACAAAAAAAATAGAATTGCTACAAATCATTACAAATCTAGAAAGTTTCTGGCCATTTCTGGGTTCAAAGAAACAAGCAAAGGACTTCTTTTGTTTGTGTTACCTTTTTCTGGAGCCAGACTTTGGTTTGACGCTACGTTGGAGGAGATGTATCCTGTATAAAACCTAATCCCTCAGACTTTTCTTTTTTGATAAAAACATTCTGTTTCGGCTTGTTTGTAAGTTAGGATTTGTAATTAGTTTTAAGGGGTATTTGGCCACGAGAAATCGATTAGACTTGGTCACAAGGCTGGGAAAATCTAGTTGCCGCCCTACAGCCCTTGAAAGGGCCCATGCTATCGTCCAAACCTATTTTTAGCTGCAGTTAATAAAAAAAAGCTGATACAGGCTATTTTAATTGCAATATAATATGTATTTGTAAAGGTGTGTTAAAATGTTTTCTTTGGCTCATCTGCATCACATTGATGTCTACGGGGTCATCCACATTGAAACCGTACATAATAAATATCTTTAATTTAGCTAAATAACTTATCTAATAAATTTAATATTTAATTAAATCCGAGCAAAGCTCGGTCTCCTGGTACTAACAACTAAATTCAAGAGGCTACCAAATTTTACGGAGCTTTAAAATAATTTACCCTGCTAACAAAAGATATTTTAACCTTCATTTCTTTTAAAACCACCCAGTGGCTGAAATTGTAGAACAATGAAATCAATTCAAAATAACCTCGGAACATGAATGACACTCTACCGAACGATTCAACTGGTTTTCTATTTTCCTTGTCCTTGGTTTTAATTGAGTGTCTAGACACTCAGACAGGTTGTTTAATTTAAATCACATAAGACTTCATTCCACTCCTACTTATGGTTCTGCAAATATATTTCAACTACTATATCTATTTGTGTTGGCTTTTGATCAGTGTAAAATCGATTTTATTTATATTTCATTGTATGCTACAATTATTTTATCATTGTATTTTTGGATTGTTTGTCAATCTAGTACACAATACAATTGAAATTGGATGAAACATAAAATGTAAAGAACCTTCATGTAATTTCCATTAAGTTGCTTTCTGACTCAGTAGATTTTTAATAAAATGTACTATGTTTTGTTATTCAACGAAACGGGACATTTTTGTATAATGAACGGAGAATGAAATCATAGGTATTTTAATTTTACGGTTAAAGAGATTTATTTCAAATATCCGAATTGAAATTTTACTTACACAAAATAACTGCAAAAATATTCGTCATTAAATAAGTTCAAAGAATGTATCATCACTGCAATCTTCCTAACATTTGATGTCCTAATTTCAATCCTAACGCAGTAAATCATCACACGTGATAGTTTATCACACAGATCAACAGTAGTCCAAGTAACGATAAGTTATTATACATTACGTTATAAGTTATGATACATTAAGTAATTTAAAGTAGGTTACATTTGGTTAGATGGACAACGACATCCGAGCCTGACAGGCTGGCTACCAGCCAAGGCGGTATTGTGATCACGATCAGCTGATCGGTTACCTCACAGCTCACAGCTGACTGTTCGCGCCGTTTATTGCTCCACCGCCTCCTCCCACATTATGCGAGGGAATATTTCAGTCTGTCTAGTATTATCCAACGGTCTTGTTAGTTCTAAACCAGCCGACTGATCTTTGATCTTTTCCCGTTTTTTGTGATTTGCATGACAATAAACCATATGTTTATTGTTGGGACAGTAGAAAAGTATTGGAATAAACTTAACCTGTTAAATACCGTGTTTAAGTGTTTATTGTTTTTAACAGTAACCAGGCTATAAAAACGTGTTTAGTTGGATTCAATTTCTCAAAATGGAAGGGTTAAAAGATATTCGTGTTGTGTATAAATAGTAAGATATAAGTTTTGTTATAAACAGTGTTTAAAGAAGATACTATTCGTTGAAATATTCTGCTCTAATACGTAATTGAACTCAATTTATGGCCTAACCTATATTTTTAGAAATTGTTATAACACTTTATCTAAAAACATTGGTTTATTTGACTAGTTAAAAAATTATATCTTGGATCTATGTTCAGAGCAATCTTGAAAATTTGTGTATAGGGCTCATTTTGCTTTATGTGAAAGTACAGTATATTGTAATCAATGCAATGATAAAAATGTCAACGTTTTAAGGTACAAAATTGTAATTTCATACATACAGTGAATTAGGTACGAATTCTATTTTTTGATTAATTTTGTTATAGGTAATGATAAAAAAAATTATAAAACTTCACAACTGTATATACCTTTTACAAATTTTTTTCTACAGGCTTAAATATAGTATTTTTATTGTGCTTTGATACATATCAATATATGATATTGTTTTAGCCAGATGGTAAAATAATGAACTTGGATTGTCATTTACATTTCTAAACCCACGAAGGACCGCACAAACCAAGAAATAGATACAGTTAGTTTTCGACAAACATTTCAAATTTACTGGTTTCATTATATTATATTTACAAAGTTGTACAGGTATTAATTTTTGAATTATTTTTAACTGTACTTTGCGTTGACGAAAACAGTGACAAGATAGTTAAAAACTTAAATTAAAATGAACGATTAAAACCTACGAGCAAAAAAGTTTCAGTACTTTTCTTTAAGGACACTACATCTCAGAGTATATTTTTTAATTTCGGTCCAATTTTATATTGCCCTAGTTTGAAAATTTTCACATGACTCATTCTAGAAACAATTAGAACTTGGAAAATGATAAATACGTTTTTTTATCAGTATTGGTTTTCCTGTGCTTAGCACATGTTGTTTATGCTATTTCAATAATACATTACATTTAGATTGTCTTAGTTAATAATCAATGAAAGGCGAGTTTTCTATTTTAAGGTTTATGGGATTATAAATATGGTTTAATAGTTTTGTAAATCCTTACGAAAATGAATCAATTAGGCTCTTTTAAATTCAAATTATAATATTAACGTTCTCAGATAAAGGGAAAACACAAAATCAAATTATAGGAAATCACTATTTTAAGGGAAACAATGTATGTATTGTGGATGTGAACATATGGATGATGATATTATTTTTATTTAACAAAACAAAGCCAAATCAATAGATGTATTACCGTATTCAATTTTATTTATTTATTTGTTTTGTTATTGGTTAAAGAATATATTGAATTTATTCTGTTTAATCGTATTAGAAAAAAATAATTAGAACTTTATGAGTTTTGGTTAAGATGTAAAATCTTTCCTTACATACGGAATAATGTATTTTTTCCAATTACAAAATAATGTTATCGAATTTTGTATTGAATGTATGGTTTTTTTTTAGTAAGAGTGGAACATTTGAAAATGATAGATTTTTGAGTAAATTTAAATGATTCTTAAGTTTTAATTAACTTATACGTTGTTTTTTATAGTAAATTTGTATAAAAAACCTTGCTTTATTATTAATTTACAATGGAAATCTTTAGGTTTCACTGTATGGTGTTGCCAAATTGCAAAGAATAGTTGTATAAAGCATTGGAATATTTGTTGAATCAAAATGAGTTTCATTTTATAATTACTCAAAGTCAAACCAAAGATAAGGTGCGATCATTACATACACACTGTAAGAACTGTACATGACGTTTGAGTCCTTACATGACAATGTGTCTGCTTTTTACTAGTTCTTTGGTGGTTCCAAAGAAAAGCTAAATTACTGTAGTTATTTTGAATTAAAAGGTTAACTGTACAAACGTTGTTTACTTTTAGCAAAATATATCAGCATAAAACTTATTATTACAACACACATTTTACCTAGGGAAAAATTGCAATTATTTTATTAAGGAAATTAATTATATTTCGGAAAGTATTACATTTTAAGTTACTATTTGACTACCAAGTATTTTTACAATGACCAACTAGCCCCATTTGTTGAAGCACTCCATGCCTTTTAACTTCTTTATCCTGCTATAAATGTCCAACAATAACAATTATTTTAAATTTCATGAGTTTTACTCTTTAAAATAAGATAAGAACAGAAAATAAACGCAAATTTATATTCGAAATTGAATAATTCGCTCACTTATCACAAGTATAAATGCAGACTTCTATTTTAAAAACTTAAAAATCAAACCAATTGAAATGTACTCACGAGCTTGAACATGTTGGTGGTGTAGATCCGTGAGTCACAGAAGGAGTACAGTGACTGGTGGAGGAGAGACCATGTTATATACCCCACATCGGGTCACGGTCAGGGGACTACGCCCATCCCGCGCCGCCCCCGACACTGCAGGAGACGCTGGTTCTTCGGGAGGGTAGAAGTTGTGGGGTCTCAACGTCTCAGGTGGTTTACAGTATTATCTAGCTCAATATAAGGGAAGTTGTATGTGATATTGGAAATTTAATTAATCAGTGCTTGCCCTGTAGTTAATATAGTCAGACTTTATTTTATTTTTGTTTAACGCCACTGGCATGATATGACCTGCAAGACAACTTTACAATCCTTGATCAAATTTCAAGCGTTAGCCTTTTGTTATTTACCATCCAATAATTTGAGAGGCCAAACACAAATGGGATCTGGGTTTCTGAATTGACTCTTATAATTTATCCTGCAACCTATACATTTAAGGGCGATCCCTTTTGAATTCTGACCGTAATAGAATCGAGAAAAAAGGTATATAGAAAGAGTTCGTTTCTCTGGAATGATATACATACCAGAGGTAAATACAATAGTGATTGCTCATAATTATTTAGTTAAGGGTTATTTATATATGTAAAACTAAAGGGTTGTTCATATTTCACACTGATTCATTTACATAAATCACCTCTAAAAATATTTAAAGTTGAGTTGCTTAGGCCATGAATATGTTTATCTGTTTTTCCAGACATACCGACATAAAGATCACAAAAGATTACCAGAACAGAAAAAAACCCCACTTACACCAATATTTTAACGCCTATTACACACAAAACCATGACAATTCTTTTAATTTTTTTTCATTAGTTGATTATTACATTTTTAAACCTACATTAAATATTCACATTTACTCTTACATTAGTTATAGGAGGTAGTAAATTTTACCTTGTTGTGTAATTCAATATTGTAATCTCTAAATTACTTTGATGGAAGCTGTCTATCTACGCTTTATCCCATGACATTGTAAATTATTTAGGCACAGTATGAATTTGTATTTATGATCAAATTGTAACTTTTAAAATAAGCAATGTGTAATAATAAAAAAAATGTTAATAAAATTATTTTGATTAATTAAAGGTTTTGAAATAGTTTTCGGAAAATTTTTATGACGCTTCATAAATACACTAGATGAAGATAACTTAGTTCATAAATACGCGCTTCTCTTAAACTACAAGTACGCACTATAGTGTTGTATTTTGTAAAAAATGAAACATAATCATTCAATAAGTTCATTGTGATTCGTAAATGTTAACTGGTGGCTTACTCTTGATTGTGTACTTTCTACCTCAACTGAATGACAAATATCCATTTTTCTAAACAAATTGGTTTACTTTCGTGAATGTAGTGTATTCAAAGATTCAGAAATAAATAAAATAAGATAAAAAGTGTTGGGATAATTTAACCTACAGCCCCCAGTGTTCTGTGGGAGTTTGGAAGAACATGTTTTTACAAGGAATCGGAGCATCTATTTTTTACGCGTATATTTGCGTACACACATAATGGCTATGTTTACTTATGATATGAGAAAGTATTTTTTCAGGGAATCGCAACTGAATCAGTGTTTGATGGTTTTGTTGATTCAATATAAATGTATCTGTCATGTAATTTCGAATTATGTTTATTATGTTCGAATTATGTTCGAGCTTTATTTTTTTTGTGATGCGTTATTACATCATGATGTTTCTTCAAGTAAACTCTGTGCTTTCTAGTAGAATAGAAAGGAAAAAATATTTGTTCCTAATTTGATTTTAGATTTAAAAAGAAAATAATTTATTATAAAGAGTGAGTCTAACTAATGTAAATTAATGACTTTAATTATTGTTAGCTTTATGGATCGTCCTCTCATGCTGTAGAAAACATAGCTTAATAATCTGTGTTCTTTTATTAGAATAAAATATATATGTACACATTGAACTACTATGCTATGCAAATTATATACTATTATGTACATTTATACATAAAAAATATGCATAAAACCAAAATCGTACTAAATCTAGAAATGCCATAAGACAGTAATACAATTTTAAGGAACGATTTTAATATTTTCATATTTCAATGTAGGGAAAATCATGGGGGATATGCCCACCAGAAAACTGTAAGAAGGAAGTATTTTGAAATCAAGTTGTTTTGGGGAGGGCTTTGTACGCATAAAACTTAGTATCTGTTAGCTTAATGGGTTCTACAAATTGTAGTGAAAATTGACTACAAAGGTTTTCCGTTACTTGTTCATTCAATGATCATTTACACCCGTATTGACAAATTATTGTGCACTTTGACTACACTCAACGTACTACTAAGTAATACTACTAATACTACTAATAGTAATACTACTAATAAACTCCTTTTCAATCTGCATTGATTTATTTAAAGAGATTTGTAAGGCTCAGGACTGTAGGAGGGGTAATTAATTGTTCTTCATCTGTTACAATAATTAGCAGTGAGAGAAGTAGAGCCACTGATCATTAGTGACCTACTGAGGACGAGGCTGTAGCAAGGACACTGTTGAGGTTACCGATCCTTAAATTGATCCAATTATTTTTTTTGTTGCCGGACGCTTTGGTTTAATTAAATAAGATTAAATTGATAGCGAATACTTTGAAGGTTTCATTCTACGGAGTTGTGACTTATACACTTATATTTGTTGACCTCAGTAAAGAAAATATATATTATTGTTTTATTTTTGTAAAGGCACAGTATGTTTTTTTGCTGGACAGTTTGTTAGTCGTCTAACCACATAGTCTAATGACATAAGCATCTAGGGTTTGAATTCACTCCATTTGGAATTGAACCTGTAGCCTAAAGATTCAAAGACAATCGTTATGACCTATCAATATAGTTTTAATAAGTTACTTTTATTTGGAATTTAATTATTGTTCTTAGACAGAGAAAAGATGAGTATACAGTTTTTTTTCAAAATTTAAACATAGGAGCTCTTTAGCGCAAATAGTTGTAACTTGGGTAGAAGTTCACTTTTGTATTCAGAAGGGATCATTACCAGGTTTCCAATTTTTATTCAAATCATATCAAATTAAAAGGTGTGCTTCATTTATTATGTACACAATATGCATAAATAGTCGTAGTAGCAAAAAGTACGATAACACTAAAATATATTAATTAGGCTATAACTATACAAGAGTGAGCCGAAAAGATTTTCATCCACATTTGGTACATAAAGATTAAATAAATGGCTTTGTATATTTTCAGGGAAAATTAAGATATAGTTGATGCAGGCGGGTTACAGTATTATCAAATTAAATACTAGGGTGAAAATTTGAAATAAGATTAGTGTTTGGGGTTTGGTTAGGTTAGGTAAACCTTTTTGTCTGGTGTTACAATTGTGATCTTCCGAATTAACAGACAATTTAGAGGCATATTCTTTCATGGTTATTAGCAAATTATATATATATACACGCTATGAAAGCTATTTAAATAAACATATCCATATTAGAAACGAAAAATGAACTACATAGAATAAGAATTTAAAAATTTGCTTTACGGTATATAAGTTTTTGATGACGTTTGCAATGTAAGTTTCCCAGGTTAATTTATGGCCTACAATTATTCCTGAAAATGTTGTCCAATTAGAAAAGCTGCATGGTAGAGTGGCTAAGTGTAGTTTAACAAAACTTTTGAGGTAGCCATCTTGAAATTTCATCAACCGGTACTTGGATTGATTTAATAAAAAGCCATTATCTGGAAGTGGTTAGAACTAGACCGCAGGGGTTCTTGTTTCATAAGTTGTGGAAACATTGATTTGTCAGGATGGGTAAAGATAGCAGAAGTGTTGGCAGCAAACATAAGTGTTGAATTCAAGATAATATTCAAGCCATTAACATAAATTAAAAATAGCAAGGGTCTAAGAATCGACCCTTGAGGAACGCCCTCTGTGATGAATCTATGATCAGCCTTAAGTCCCAGTGACTGCAGATGTATACAATTTAATTTTTGATACGATTATTTAAACACGTGTTACCCATAAACAACCTCTCTTTCATAATTGAAATGCAATCACTGGCATTTAATAGTTTGTATACTTAACATAAACAACCTCGAATAATATTTTGTATTTAATATTACTATCGTGTGTTGTTGCCATTCAAACACAAACGCAGCTGCACGTGTAAGGAACAACAGACATATACAAGTGTGGATGATACGAATTTCAAATCAGGTGCATGCTTCTGTTGCAATGTGGTTACCTCTTAGAATGGAATGAAAGTGATTACATTACAATATTGAGAATGAGAGCGGAGGCTTATCATTGGTAGAAAACCAATCTTATGTAATGTAAAAAAATTATTATATTCTTGAAATGAAACAAAATAAAGTAGACAGACATACATTTTATGTGGTTAAAAACGGGCGTATTTTAGATGTTTTTTATCTGTACTCTTTTATAACTAATCGTATAGTACTATATTCCTCTGTACAGAATAATGTTTACATAATCAAATGTATATGTATGTATGTATGTATCTGTAATGCTATACCAACGATATAAACAACTCATACCATCCAAACCAGATAACCTGAAAAAATTTTTATTTGTGCATTTCACCATATTGTATAAAACTGTTTATTGAACCTGAATGTTATGTGGTTTTCTAAAATTACCTCATTTGTATTTAATCATTTAAATAATAAACATAAAATAGTTATTTTGCATAATTACTATGCAAATTGTATTAGTTCTATTAAGTTGTATTTTAAGAAATGCTTTACTAGGGGACTAGTACGCTAACTGAGCATTCCAATACAGAAAAAAACTCACCTCTTGGGCATAATGGCAATTGCAATAACCTGTTAATCTTTAAAGAATACCTTATTAATTAAAAAAAATAAATATATTATCAAAATGAAAAATTATTTTTAATAAGAGAGCTATTGAATGAATAAAACTACTAATTTAAAATATTTCAATTACGTTGACTGTAGACCTGTACCATAATGAGTGATTCGCCTTCCTCAATCCGATTACAATAATTTTTAAGGAAAGTAACCCTTTAAA